GGAAAGTGTGTCTCCAGGAGTAGCCTTTGTGCTTCTTCCGGTGTTGAGTGTTATGTTCCGTCAGGTCTGCACAGCTGGCCCAAGTCCTGTGATTTGTCTTTGGAGAGTAGTTTCCTTACTTTGTTTGCCGTGGAACACGTGTCAATGCTAGTGCAGAATTTCCGCCATGACCCATCGCTCCAGTGCCGAATTCGTCGTTTGTAGAGAGATTTTGCATCTCTAAATGCGTCCAGTCTTGGTCATCACAGGTGTTCATAGCCCTGTTGAAGAGGCGTCTTACCTTTTTCCTCAGTCTTGCAAGTTCGAGTCCCCACCAGGAGTTTTTGTTACTATGGTTAGTCCTAGGTGTACTGAGGGGGCATGCATTCTGGTAACCGGACATGATGGCCTCAGTCAGCTCCTCGGTGGTCTTGTCTATTGTCTCGGTGTCCTCATAGCCCCTGAGCTGCATGCGCTGTAGGGATTGAGTTACCTCCTATACTGCTTCTTATTTGTCTTCCTAGGTATGCGCCTGGGTGTCGGGATAACAGTGTGTATAACGAGTTTGAAGGTGATCCATCTGTGGTCCGAACAAGAGGCCTCCAAGTCGAACCCTTCCAGTCGGACACCAGATTGGCACCCATCCTCGTCGTCAATGTTAGGTCAATGATGGTTCTTGCTCTTCTTGTCACGAATGTTGGAGCTCAGGTCTCTCGTAAAAAGAAAGTCTACTAAGTCCTCACCTCGCTTGTTGCTGTTAGACATGCCCCATAGAGGATGATGGCGTGAGCGCCGATGATCAGCGCCATGTCGTTTTATTCGCAGTATCTCACCAGCTCCATTAGTTCATCTGGTGGTGCCGACTCCTCCTCATGCATGTAAGCGGAGGGCATCACCAGATCGGGTACACTTGGATCTTGCGATTGTTTTATTTTAATGGTTGTTAGGTCGCTAGAACAGAATTGTGTCATTAATTGTGCCTGTATGGTAGTAGAACATATGATACAGGACCGCGGAGCACGGTTCCTTGCTGTATAGAATGTATTACCACCGCTGTTTTTGAAGCCGCATACGCTATCGGATCTGACCCACGGCTCCTGGATCAGAGCCACTGCCTCGTCGTTAACCTCCAACCATCTCGTGACCTGAGCCGTTGCGGTGCGACTGTGTTGGAGGTTCGCCTGGATGGTCTTAATGGTCGGTAGTGGAGGTGCCATCGGAGGATAGCAGCACATCAACATCGACCTCCTGATCGATGTTGATCCCACCGAGCCTGTCTGCCCACTCGTCTACGACCTCCTGCTCCATCCGCTCCATGGGAGCAGGATCACAGGTGTCCGAGATGTCATCTGCTTCTGTCGTACGCTGCGGCGTCTCAGGAGGCTCTCTCTGTGACGGAGCCGGTGTTATTTCCTCTAGAGGCGGCAGGGTCTCAAGGTACGGACCGCCCTTGCTCCTGAACCTCACGTACACAGAGCCCAGTAGATAGCTGAGTTGCCTCCTCCTCGCTACCAACTTCTCCGCAACGTCCCGTGTCGTGCTGAACACCAGAAAGGTGCTCGTGTCGCCAGTGATTGACTTGTGTAGCAGCCAACGGTCTACTTCAGCATCAAGGTTTTGATACCGAAGCACCTTGGCAATGGTATAGGGCTCTCGGATGTCCGGTATGAGCAGCCCACATACCACCCTGCTAGGTCGGTCGATTTGTCTTTGGACGACCAAGTCCTCCACCCCTGTCACTTTCAGTGTTCCCACCGTCCTCTTCAGCCACTCCAGTGACTGGGGTGTTTTGCACCAGAGGCTCAAGGCTCCGTCTGCAATCATGGGTTTCCCCTTGATAGACGGTCCTTCGATTGTTGGGGATCCAATCGCCTTAAGCGTTTCCTGAACAATTGCCTCTTCTAGCGCCTTAAGGACTTGTCCAGCCACGGCAGCGCTGAGTGTCCGGTCGTCTTACTGGTGATCACCACCAGTAGGTCAGCTTTAGCAGCGTCGGCAAATGAGGGCCTCCCAGGTCCCTGGCGCGGATCTTCCGATTTCGGCTTCTTGTGCTCGGTGAAACCGTGTCATCTAGCCTAGGGCGCTTGGAGGTCTCTTGTCTGTCTGTACGTGTGTCTGGTTGGTCTGTCTTTTTGTCGCTTGGAGTGCTGGTATGAGCCGATTTCTCGGCGTCCTCCAAAGCCTTCTGTCGGTTCCTGATTCTTCTCGCCCTCTTACTGAGTTTAAGTTGATCAGTCTGTCCGTCATTGTCTGGTCTGTGTCCATCAGCATTGCGACTACTGTTCCGGTCACCACCCCTCCGCTTTTTACGGCGATGGGAGACGACCTTCCAAGAGTCAAGCTCTGCCTCTGAACTGTCTTGTGCGTGCTGCCTGACACCAGGTTTCCCCTTCAACAGGACTTCCGCCGCACGGAAGGTCGATGGTAAGTCATGTGCTTGCTGCCTGACACCTGGTTTCCCCTTTAACAGGACTTCCGCCGCACGTGAGGTCATTGGTTTGCTTGTCATGTCGGTCTGCCTGACACCGGGTTTCCCCTTCAACAGGTCTTTGTCGGTTTTCTTTTTCAGAGATCTTTGTTCTTCCGTGTCCACGTGATTGTCAAAAATTCATCTTCACCAGTCCCACCCACCACGGAGCCACAACTGAGATGCCGATATCAAAAATCGAGGCACCAGGATTGTGGTGAGGATATAGGGGCACAGAGTTTTCCTCCCTGCGCGACATCGGGAACTGCAGCTGCATGGCTGGTTGTCGATCCCAACTACTCGTGGTTCCATACAACCTTGCTCCGTCAGCATGGCCGGAGTCCATCGCTGCATAGACGGTAGACGCCTTGACCGTTGCCGCGTGGTCGGCTACACCACGCGGTTGCCGTCTCGCTGGAAATCCGGGCCAAAGTGCTGTGTTGCTTCCGGGGTGCCGCAGCTACCCTTTCCGCTCAAACACCAGGATCCCTTCATCCCTGCTCATGGCGACGTGAAGGAAAACAGCCAGGCTTGTCTGGGGGATCTTCACGACCAGCGCTCGCTCCCCAGACCATTAACCAAATTAACAAACGGGACACAGAATGGTAAAATAGGTGATGTGTTAGGTTTAGCCGTCTTGTGCTGTATACAAACCTAACACATCCCCCGCCCTTAATATAATCCTAATAAGGCAACAACACACTTGACTATATTTGTTAAAGTTTGCCTTTTCATTTCTTTAAACTCATGTATTAGATGATACCCAGATGAACACTTTACCTATTCATTTTGTATTTGCTAATCCTTTCAAACCAGAGCTCTCTGATGTTGTTTATTGACTGTCTCATATTTTTAGTTCAATGATGAATGTTATTAAATGAATAAGAAATGTATTTGGTCTTTATTGAACCTTGGGGTAGCATACCCCTAGGATAAAAATAGGAATGGGGTTCTAACATACCTACCTATTTTTTTTTACTACTTTTGAAGTTATACTTCTTTAGCCGCGTTATGAAAAAATTATGAGAGTGAAATTTTAAGATGCGCGCGCATCACTGTAACACAAAAGTAACATAATGAAGTTAGCCGCGGGCGCGTTATGAAAAAATGATGAGAGTGAAATTTTAAGATGCGCGCGCAACACTGTAACAGAAAAGTAACACCATGAAGTCGGCCGCTAAACCGCACATTACTCGTAAGTCTCGAAAAAAAGCTTCCAACAAAATAGTAATAGGATCTCTTAGTCGCACATGTTGGGACGCTCGTCGCCTCTGATCACTGTTTTCATATTTATAATATTTATTATTTAATAAAACTGTAAGAATGTGCGGGAGGGCGAAGGGGGAGTGTGAGAAGACTGACGTCAAATAAAGATAGGCGTAGATAGAAAATACTTATATTGTGATTACTATTCAATATTTGTAGGAGAAATGGTATTACTGTATCCCACAAGGGTGGAAGTACATGTATACTATTTTAAGATACTAAGACGTCCCACATGGTGGAAGCGTATAGCGTGCAAGACAATAGGCCCTACCTACGAAGCGATGGCTTGGTCAATTTCCCAAGAACACCTTATACAAGTGGTGTCAGTATAGTATAGCACGATTCACATGCGTACAGCGCCGTCTAGTAGCGGTCGGCGTGATGATATTTGATCCTATGATGTGCCATACAATCGGTGTCGGTATAGGATAGCGCGATTCACATGCGTACAGCGCCATCTAGTAACGGGCGGCGTGATGATATTTAATACTATGGTGTTACAAAAATAATGGTGGATTATTAACCACTTAGTGGTTAATAATCCACCATTATTAGACATCTGTTCGAAAGGTACTTTGAACAATCCACGGAGCTCCATAAGATGATCGCGTTGTCAAAAACAATGTTGGCACGCTCGTCGCCTCTGATCACTGTTTTCATATTTATAATATTTATCCACATGTTTCTAGTTTCTATATAGACACAACGTGTTTTAGTTACTTACAAGTGCTAATTACATATTATGGACTAATAACTTAAATTCAGTAGTGATTTTAATTGAATATTTTGAATATTTATTTAATTTTTCTAATTAAAACTGAACTTAATTGACTGTGTTAACTATCCTTTTCCAGTCCTTTTATTATTTTATTGTAATTATTAATTATTTGCATGCAATTAAAAAATATTTTTAATGATGCTAAAGAAGTATAACTTCTCACGCGCGTACATAAGTTACACGCATCCATTTTTTTCATTATAGCAGGAAGACATGACTGTACTAATGATCTGTTGAGGCTGAGGACGGAGCCATAAGGTTGTCTATGGTGTCGATTTTGGCATGATTCTCTAAACATAAAACTAAATTTAACATCAGCCTCTTCTTTTCATTCCGTATAGAGAATAATAAGGATACACTGTTGATACCTTTACATTTAGAGATTCATGCCAGAATCAACTCTAATATGTATAAATATTTATTATTATATCATTAAATGAAACTTTAGGTTTACTATAAAAGTTATATTATTAATAAGCTTTCTCTCTTATTATTTCGGTATCGGCAAGCTTAGGCCTCAAGCTCTCTTAGGAAAGAACACACTCTATCAAATTTGTTTAGTGTGAATAAATGGAAGTGATTGACACCTTGTTCAGTATATAAAGAACGAATAAGTTCTCGGGTAATTTCTTTACCTGGCGCAACATTTACTGTCGATTCTTTAACCTTAACGTAATCTAAGACATTTTGCGATACTTTAATTTTACACAAGATTATAAAACCATTTAACTGTTTGTAATCCTCAAAATAGAATACACCTGGTATGATTGGAACATCAATCTGAACACTTTTACACTTTCTTGTAAACTGATTAAAGACATCACTTTCAAAGAATGCCTGAGTAAGGATAAAATTTGCGCCAATGTTAACTTTCATTTTAAGTATAAGTAGTCTTTCGTCATTACAATCTGGCATTCCTGCTACACCTATGCAGAAATAATCTCCAAATTCTCTTCTGATTTCTTTAATCAATTCGTCGCTGGATTGGAAGTCAGACAAGGAAGGGTCATAGCTTTCTGGGAAAACAAAATTATAATCATCAGCATTAAACCTGAGCTCTCTTTGATTTTAACTTGGTTTTAGAACACTTACCTCCTAGCATTATAAACAAATTACATATTCCGTTGTCTTGAAGTAACTGCAATAGTTTACTCAGATAGTCTTTTCTTAGCAAATCGCATGTTAAATGCAACAGAACATTCTTATTTTTACTTCGCAGAAGCTTTGCAAGTTTAAGAGGAGCTATATCTAAATCTTTGTTTAAGTGTGATTTGGCATGCCAAGTTACTGAGAAAAAAGTCGGCTCTAGAGGCAAATTATCCAAATCAGCTTCATGTACGTCTGGCGTTACTTCAAAGGAATATGATGGCGCAGCTGTAATTCTTAAGAGATCGGTTATTTTAGCCATTTCTTCGTCCTGAAAATTTAAAAATTACAAAGAAGTAACCGAGTAAAAATCTTCTTAACCTGGTATTATTCAAATTAATTTTTAAATATCGATAATTTCATCTCTACATCCATGTAGAGTAAATATATAGTTACATCTTCTTTTGTACCCACATAGAAGAACTTTATATCTTAGTAGATAGAAGTAGGTACTAATATTAACATACAGATACAAGTATTACTCTCAACTTAAAAAAGGAACGTTTATCTTTAATAAATTTTTGAAACACAAGACACTTACCAGAGTTATGAAATGGAGGAATATACAATAATATCCAACTTTCTCTGCGAGTAAATATATCGAAATAAATACAAAAAAGATGACTTTACTTGGTGATAACACTTTGAACTAGATAGCTGTAGTGTAGTCGTGTCAGATTAAATTTCAGTTACTTACCTACTTCGTAAATTATACAGTATAATGTAGTAGATAAATTTTACCTACCTACTTGATTTTGTGTAGTTATAATGATATTGTATTGTATTGCCGATAGACGGACGCCGCTTCGACTTTGCATCGTTAAATATATTCTTATCGCATTGTTAAAGTTTAATTTACAGTCAATTGTTTTCCAGTCAGTTTGACTTCGGTGAAGTCGAATTTTATTTATTTTTGTTTGGTTACAGCGCAATTACTTTACGGTTACTAACAATACAATCTAAGAGCAATTAGGTATTACCTACCTAGGTATTATGTTACAATACTTTTATTTGAATTATTTATACAGACTTAACAGAAAAAAAAGGTTTTATTTGTGTTATAAAAGTTTATATTTTCACTTTTTTAAGGAACGGCAACATCAAATAAGTTATGATACCTACTTGGGCAGCTAAGCTACAATAGCCTAATGCTCTCCAGAAAACACAATCCAAAAAAAACTTGTTGCCAAGACGAAACCATATTATGTCTCTCAATGACAAAAGTTATCAGATCTCATTTAGAGTCAAGTTTTTAACTCTACACGCCCTACTCTACACGTTAGTCAATTTTTTAGATATCGATAAAGTATAAGAGCTATGCAATTAGAGTTACCAGATGAAAAAATCAAAAGTCCGGAGAAAAGGCTTGATTTCCATTGAAAAATCCTGAGATTTTTACAGTTTGAGAATTTACTCTCAAACGTATTTAACAATTTAGAAAAGTCGTAATATTATCTTTTTTATACATGCTGCTTATACTTTTAATTCAATATTTGAAGAGCTTAACATGTGGGGCATTTTATAAATCCATAATTAAAGAAAGAACCTTACTTAAAAATGTATCATCACATATTAAGTATGATAAATCTGATCAAGTACCTACCTGGATAAATAAGTATTGATTTAACTGTGCAATTATTATCAAAGGAAGATGATTTTAAGTTTGTTTAAGTTTTTATTAAACAGATCTTTAAAACGTTAGCTGGTTTTATTGAAAATTCAAAAAGTCCTGAGATTTCAAGAGGTTTGCAAAATCCAGTCTGCAATCCTGAGAAGAGTCCAAAAATCCTGAAATCTCAGGACAAATCCAGAGATATGGTAACCCAATATGCAATCAAAACTTTATAATTATGTTTAATAAGCCCGCTATTGACAACATATCCCAAGAATTTTGTTTATCACACTAATATTATAAAGGCGAAAGTTTGTGAGTGTGTATGTTTGTTACTTCTTCACGTCTAAACGGCTGGAGTGATTTTAATAAAATTTAGTATGGAGTTAGCTGACGCCCTGTATTAACACATAGGCTACGTTTTACTGCGGGAAAATATCCCCAATAAACCGCGGGTAACACCGCGGGGCACAGCACTAGTCAAGTATAAATCCAAAGTCAAGTTATAAGGGTTCAAAAAAACGACGACGAAGGGCTTCGAGAAAAGGTAGGTAGTGCTCTTGCACTTTGGTTGACTGTTCTTGTCGTCATGCCGGGGAGCACTTCTGTGTTCCCAGATTATTATTGGATCTGTACCCCTAGCATGAACCATTATCGAACTCGAATAGTTTGCGAGTGCGAAATGTCAATGTCAAATTTTGTAAGGAAACTTGAACAGCAGCGCCACAACGGACGTAACGAGAACTAAAAATCAGTACACATTTGACATTGGCATTTCGCACTCGCAATCTTTTCGAATTCGATATTGGTTCGTGCTAGGGGTACTGAAAATATTTTTAAGGAAAGGGAAACGAAAAAAACAAACTTCAAATAATTGACATTCTGTATTATGACTGTTCCATACATTGCGATATAAATCAGCCATTATACATTATTATCACAACCAAAATCAAGTACAATAACGTAAAAAATCATTTTATTGAATTCACTACTTAAATATTTAGTAAAGCTGTTTCGAAGCTGTGTAACTTATCTAAGTTATTCATTATACTTAGTTTATATAAAATTGACTAAGTATTTATTTAGTCATCTAAGTTAACTGCGGTTACCACGAACATTGCTCGATAATGACGGACTATAATACAATGACAATAATACTAATCGTGTAAAAGCATCCAAACACCTAATCTACAGTTGTCTAAATACATACTTAATACTATCATTACTTTTAATGGAATTCGACGTTATTAATACGTATGTAAGTTATTGTTATAATCTGTGCCTAAAGCTTGAGTAACAGTACAGTTTATTTCTTTTAGGCATCATCTAGGTACTATCTACATTAAGAACAGTAGGTTCACATAGGTACATATTGTATTGTCCTAAAAACGTCTAGAAATGAAATTAGTATGTTCTCCTTCCTATCTCAGAACCACAATGCTCAAACTCAGGTCGAATCATATCTCGTCTAACTCAGGTGTAATATGAACGCTAATAAAGCGTCGCCAGCAGTGATGTTCTGTAAAAACAAACTCACCTTTGACCACGGAATCCACGTGTGGTTTTTTTCCTTATTATTTTTATTCAGTTATTTCACAATTTGTCCCTGAACTTAGTTATTCTTATTCATATTTTAACATGTTTAATAATATACTGTCCGTGCTCGAGGCTGCTATTTGATACAGCCAGGGGCGCGGGCAGAAGTCGGAAAGCGAAAGCATAGAAGGATAGTAAAGATAAAAGAAGGTATACAAGAAAATAGGGAGGTGAAAAAGGAAAAAAGAAAATAAAACTAGTTTTTACGGGTTAATGCACGTGCACTTTTATTAAATAATATAATAAAAGTTTAATTCTGACGACGTAGCCTGTAAAGGCTACGAAACGTCAATAAATAAATAAAGTTTCGTGCATTAACCCGTAAAAACTAGTTTTATTTTATGAAAAAAGAAAAGTTAATTATACACTTTTAAACGTATAAAGTCACAGAAATAATAATATACTTTGTGAGCGTGCGCTGCGGTAGGCGGGACACGGAGCGGGCACCCGCTCGGCGCGCTTACTTCATGCCTGTTTTTTTAAAATATGAGAACACGCATTTCAAATAACACCAGCGAATTCCGCGCTGAAAAGTGAGTTTTGTTCTTATAGAAAAGCATTGCAGAATTCGACACTGGCATTAACGAGATACAATTTGTTTAATTTGTTATGTTATTCATATTCTGTATAGTCTATAATGCATGTATAAAGAAAGCTCCAGTTTTCGTTGATGGTGATAAAATTAAGATAATGATGTTGAAAATTATATTATTTATTTGCTAATTAACAATATCGAGTATAGTACATAGTTTATCGTGTCTAAATTGCTAAAACTGAAATTAAATTAAATTAAATTAAATATTTAAAATCTTGAATGACAATAGTTGTTATAAATTTTGCAACATCGTCATTAGGTACCACATGCTTAGGAATGTGAGCATATTACTAACAGTAAACATCAACAATTTCGGTTGATACAAGCATGAGGTAATTAAGTATAATATAATAGTATCACATCATTATCCTGATAGAAAAGGATGATTTTTAAAGACTTTAACCACTCTTTTTACACATTCAACGAATACTTACATTTACAAACATCTAAATACAGAACAAAATTCTTTGTCTGTCGTCAAGTTTAAATTTCCACCTGTGATCGGACATGCAGTAGGATGCCTCGCAATACATTCAATTAATTTCAACAACAATTAACAATCATCAGTAAAGAACTGGTGACACGATTTAATTTAATAATATACTATTTAACATCATAAACCTAATAATGTCGCTATTTGGACAGATGAATCACTAAAAGTGCACATCAAATTGCGTATAAACATCTTTGATAACTAACTTTATCAACAATCTACTAGATCATTCATCTGCAATGCTATTCTGTAAGAACAAACTCACTTTTCACTTTGGAATCCGCGGTGTGATTTTAAATTAGGACACGAATTTCAAATAAATTTCAAATCACACTGGCGGTTTACGCGGTAAAAAGTGAGATTATTCTTACAGAATAGCACTGCTGGATCGTTTGTCAGTAGTCAAAGCCAATATTAGTATTATTTTAAGTTATCATACTAACTTGCATTTTAATGACACACAAAATGATACTTTAACTACAATTTTATCCATATTGTGATATGTCTAATCGATTCTTAACCCTATTGTGTTTTGATAGTAAAAATTAGAGGAATGGAATATGATCAATTAAGTAGTTAGATGCCATTTGCCACTAAGTTAATACGGATAAAAAATAATTGATGTTATGATTTTTTGGGAAATATTTCATTTAACACAAACATAGTAGGTATATTTGATTAACAATTCAACATAATCCGATATTCAAACACAAACAAGCAGAAACCATTATCATAGTTAGTCAGTTATAGTTACGTACAGTCGTACATACATACGAATACATATTCATTCAGTTGTTACTTCCGTGAAAAAGGAGAGTTTCCATGTGAAAGAACTTCCGTGAACATACATTTATATTTTCAGATAAACTTGTGGTTTATCTGAATTGACAGATATTTCAGTCTTGTTTTAAAGATACAGTTAATACATGAACCTGGGGGTAATTATCTATCTTGAACTTGTTTCGTGATCCCATTCAAAGCTAAGGAAAAATGTCACAAATAAGAAATGAAAGGAATTAGAAAAATATACACAACCATGCCTCGGAATTGTTCATCTTTTCCAATTAACCCGACCGGTAGGAAGAAATGACTGTTACGTTAGTTATCCCTTTTCACATAAAAGCAAAAGAAATTTCTGTAATATATAGGTTAAGTTTATTTAATTTGTATTTTTTCCTGCATGAAATAAAAGGCTTTATTATTATAGGTATCTCTATAGCGTACCTATGTCACTGAAAATGTCTGTGCTGTATGCACATTTAAGAGTACTGCTTGGTTTAAAAAGACAAAAACCACGTTTCAATTTTTACTTCCATGAAATATAAAAAAGAACTCTTTGTTTTGGCTTTACCGAATTATTTAAATTAGGAAATCAAATCGTCGTACACGAATATTTTCTTAAAATACAAAACATTTAGTATTCTGAGGCCGTATTACAGCAGTTCAACTGAAGCAGCTGTACTTCTTCACTACTTATCAACTTAGATGATTGCCAGAGTTTGGCTTATAGCAAGTTCAACTGGCTATGGCGGCTGCTGACTTTTCATAATCGATGTTTTTAAGGTTCCACACCTCAAAAGGAAAAAACGGAACTCTTATAAGATCACTTTGTTGTCCGTCTGTCCCGCGGTGGGCGAATTACCCCACACAACCTATCCCCTGAAACGGCAGGTAGTGTGCTGCTCTAGACATCCTTCTCTACCCTATGTTGCCCTGAAAACTTACAAATACAAGAAAGAATTGTATTATGTTACTGTTGTGTACTGTAAAGATTATTACTTTCCCAGACGGGTACTACTTTGTTCTACCTTTCTGAAATGATTGACTCGGTCCCGCTGTTGACTAGGAGACGGTTCTTATTAGTGTTCGGATGTACGGACCATTTACGGTTCGCACACCCAAGAATTTGTGAATCCGAATCAAAATATAGGCCACTAAGGTCAGTAACGCATATCTTTATATGGCTGGCATTGGGTAAACAGATCAAAGTGCGACTTCAGAACCGCTTCTTTTGTAACTATGTAATCTTTGATTCATCTGTTATTCCTAGAATCCGATACATCAGCATGAGAGAAAGTATTAAACTGAAAGTTTAGGTAGGTAACTGCTTACTTACATCTAAAGTAAATAAGAATAGAAAATTAGGTACAGCCGATGGTGCCTCTGCTTGAAAAGCAAACTCATACATTACCTACTGAATCAGTCTAAGGAAATGCATTTATGGAACTGAATTATTATAAATCTACGATCTTGTCACTTCCTGAAACCTGAATTAGTAAAGGTTTCAATAATTTTGTTTATATACTTATTCTATTTGATATTGTCACTTGGTTTACATCACTAAATTTATTTCATATAACGTTAAATAGTTATAATATTGTAGTTGTTATTAAAATACTGACTTATAATTAGTGCATTTTTAGGTATAACGCTTATGACTACGATTACATTATTCTATGCATATCTAATCCAATTTAAATTGTTACAAACAATAGTCTTTTCAGTGATATCGGAATGTTCGAATGTATTATTTTCAAAAAATATGTGGTAAATTTTAAGAAAATAAAAGACACGAAATTTTCTTAAAGTAATAAGCAATTTTTCGTTGATAATGCCAATGGATGATTTGTATTATCTAACCCAAATTCAAAGATAAAATGAAATTGATTATTAATTTCGCAATTGATGAAGATTGATTAAAATAATAGTCATCTCACAAAAAATCTAAACGAATACAGTAGTTACATATAAACATCCACATATGTATTTTGAATTTAACATCAATCGCAGTTGCCTAAAATATTATTTTGTCTTAACTTAAAACTCGAAATAATCTGTTAATTAAACAAAAACAATTATTATACTTTGGGCTTCATCCTCGTGATGAGCATAATAAATAACACATATATGCGTTACTTACTTGTTTTAACTTACCAAAATGCTAAGTCCCGAAGTATAATTATAAAAAATCTTCATGTACGAACAAAGCCTCTTGCCGTTTTTTCACCGAACTCTAGGCCGGTGGGATAAGACGAACAAGATGTAGGATATATCGCACCGGACTTGTGTCCGGTGAAACAATGACCTTAACAGGAGGCCTAAATTAGTCAAAACATTTAAAGCAGGTTGCAGACCGAAAATTAAGCTATTCTGGAGCTAAACTAAGCCAGCTTTGCTAAGCTAAGATAAACTAAAAATAATATAGAAGTATAATTATAAAAAATCTTCATGTACGAACAAAGCCTCTTGCCGTTTTTTCACCGAACTCTAGGCCGGTGGGATAAGACGAACAAGATGTAGGATATATCGCACCGGACTTGTGTCCGGTGAAACAATGACCTTAACAGGAGGCCTAAGTTAGTCAAAACATTTAAAGCAGGTTGCAGACCGAAAATTAAGCTATTCTGGAGCTAAACTAAGCCAGCTTTGCTAAGCTAAGATAAACTAAAAATAAACCCCTTGCACATCATGAAAGAACTAAGCGAAAGGTCAGTCAGTGTAGAGAAATTCAATACGACGGACGTCCCGCATACGCCGCACCCCTTCGTGCCTTACTGACTGAGCTTTTGCTTAGTGCTTGGTGTGCACGGGACATATTTTTAGTTTATCTTAGCTTAACTAAGCTGGTTTAGTTTAGCTTCGGAATAGCTTACTTTACGATCTGTTACCCGCTTCAATCTGGGGAGGGTTAGCTAAGCTCGTGTAGCTGTGTATCAGCATATACAACTAAGTTAGCTTCACATATTTTAGTTAGCTCAAATAGATTAGTTTGCATACTTTGCAGTCTGCACACAAGAATGAAAAACTGCTCTGTCAGCTATGCGAACTAAACTAACTTAGCTTAGTTCTTGGTCTACAACCCGCATTATACTTCGAGCTTCGTCCTCGGCATTCGAATAAGTAACACATGTAGCAACGCATATTTTACGAGGTATGCTCATCTCTTCAGATGAATTCCTTCGTATGATGTAACTTCAAGAACAGATAAGTTCATCTAAACATTAATAATGGAAATACAAAAGTTAATCTCTTGAACTGTCTCTCGACTCTCTCTCTCTCTCTTACCAGATACCTGGTTACAGGATGCTACAGCTTTGTTTTCTGTTATGCATTTTTTGTTACGGCAATTTTATCGTCTTCTAATCAGTGAGGGACCCTCAAATAGACTCCATCTGCTCAGTCAACTCCAGGATCGGGCTCTCGCTCAGCGGCAGCATGTTGGTAGTAGGTGGCAGACTGTGACCCTGCCAGTTTTGCTGGAATACGTTATGATATATATGATCATCGAATGCTTGTTGCAACTGATAACATTGATTCAGATTATTATATACTTTAAATGTTTACCAATCAGGTTCTTAGTTGATTTGCTAATATTACTTTTAAATAGCTACAGGACTTATGTTAAAATGAACTTACTTTTAGACTTTTTCAATATTTTCACATATACGATACGTATATCAGTCAACTGTACCAAAATAGTACATTAAAAAAACCATCTTCAGAAGAAATAAAACCAAACGGGATTATTTCAAAAACTGAAAAACAAAATTGTGGTAAAATAATTTTAAATTATGTTAATTTTATTAACATAATTTAAACTTAAAAAGGTTTTCAAAGATACTGTTTAGGTACAATTTACTGTTAAATCTATCGGGTTCTTGTTCATACGCGTTTGCTAGTTGTGGTTTTATACAAGTCAACCAGACATCAGAATGGCAGAGCATGACACTATCTTTTTATTTTATCATGTAAATGCGTGAAGTATATTTAAGTAGTAGTTTTGTTTACAGATACTGCTAGGTACAATTTGGGTACAGTTTTAATATACCTACATTGCGTCAATTTTCAGAAACCTCTCAAGTGGTCTTGACACACTGTGATTCAATTTTATGTAGGTACTGACGCTAAGCTTACGAATGTGCAAAAACGATTCGTTTGGAAAACAACCTTAAAGTCAATGGCTACATAATATAGCCTACATGAACGACATCAGAACTGCATTAAAGAAAAAGAAAGTGCTACCTACCAGTATTAAAGTTATAGGTATGTGTGGTGAAACACCAGGCAGTTGTTTCTGCCCATCCATACCTATTTCTTGTTTTTCATAAAATTCTACTTCTACGAGTACGACGTCACACTCCAAAAAACCACTGGTATATTCAACTCACATTGAAGCAGATACGTCCAAAGTTAATTTACTTGTAATTCGAGACCATCATAAGATTTGGTTAATATTATTTTAATCTGTTTTTAAAGAATTTTAGAGTATTATATTAATATTTTATTTTTGTCTCCCAGTAAGTAGAAGAACTAAGAGTGACAAAAACATACCTATGTTAGTATGTATAATGAAGCTACTGATATTATGCTTATTTTTGTTTTACAGATAGGACGACTGGAGAGTACGCTCTAGGCGTCAGGTAGCAAAGGTTAGCAAAGGCTGGCCTATGCCTTTGATCAGATTAGAGCCAGGATGTCTTTCAGAGACCTTTATTAGGCGTTTTTAGTTCACCCATTTCTCTATTTATTTCGACTATTTGGTGCCCTTTGTAACCCTGGCGCATAAAACAATCACTTCTCTAGCTTTAACATGGCATAAAAGTCAGTGATAAATACGATTTACGTGAAGTTAAAGCGTTGACCTAAGAGCGCTGAAAAATTAGGTAGTTACAAAGTTTCAGGGCCGCGTATATCAACAGACACGTATATATTTTTATGGTGATGGTCGTCTGCATTTTTTGCTAAGACCAATACCAAAATGCATCGATCTTTGTGTAATAAGTCACATTAAAGCTAGTATAATTGATTTCAATCTCATATTCACAGTACAGCATATCTCAGACGCATGCATGAAAGTATAACGTAGAATGAACCAGCTGCTTAATTTTTACACAGAGGCAGAAGTTATTCGAAAACAATTTTTGAGCGATAGGCTAGTCACAATAATTGTTTTCAGACAACACCTTAGTTGGACCCAACTAATGCCAAGTGTGTCATTAATGTCCAAACATTTTGTACCCTCTAGATGAATTTTTGACGTTCTACAAAACCCCGAAAGGGATATAAGATGTAGGTTTCTTACAATGATAACTTAATTTTGGATCCTTCTGCTATGGATATGTTGTGACTGCGTAGCTACATTGCCTACCTACCCTTCCTCTTATTATCATATTTCGGAATTATTTTTGTTTTGGAATGGTTCTCACATGCTTCTCCAGATACTTTTTAATCAGTTTTCACGTATATAGAGGTACATCATCAAGTTTAAGTTTTCTTAGGCACTAACGCAAGAAGAGTTTGAAATTTTCCGTTTAAATTAAAAGTGAGTGGCAGTGAACACACAATCTAATCAGCTACGTATTTCATGCTTTCTAATGTGTTTTGGCTTGGTTACTAAAAAGAAAAGTCACCCTAAATAAATATTACATGCAGCTGCGTGATTTATGAAAAATCAACAGTTTCTACCCATATTATTTGGCACTACCAATTACGAGAGGTAACAAAATAAAACAAGTAGCTATTACGAGTTTTTACATTTACTTGTATTTAAATAAAATTGTGTCTAAGTAAAGCTATCACATCTTGCATCTTACACAAATAAGTATTAACATTACAGCAAATAATAATAAAAACTATACATAGAGACTTTTACAAATAAAGTACCGAGTCATACTTAATTAATAATAAATAGACTACAATTTAACATAATGGAGTAAATCATGATAATATAGGAACATTCTCAAGTGATGCTTTCTGTGGTTGGACGATCAATATATAATAAGTAATTCAACATTTAATATTATTGAAATAGAGTTTAACATCATTGTTGGTAAGTTATACATTAATCTAATCGTGGAACGGAAAAGAAATAGGTTAATTTCTGAAATATTAAAAAGATATAAAGGGCTTTGCCATTCTGTTAACTTAATTCCAATTACAAAGTGCGTAAGTATTAAAAACTTCAAACTTGCTAGCAATAATAATATATTAGATAATTAAGAGCAGTTTTGTTCAATAAAGTAATACCTAATTATACTTTAATAAACACTGACTAACTCTACTGATCGAAAGAAAGTTATTTATGGGTAATTCTAAATTGCATAATTTGCTTTATCTCCGATTGGTTTGAAATTTTACTCATAAGGACAAAAAAGTGTAATAAAATATGAATAAAAATTAATTATATTGTTTGGCTTAAAATGGGGATAAGTACATTATGATGAAACCCGTCTGTGTTGGCAAGATCACATTATAGTAAATCGGAGTTTTAATGGCAGATAAAGACGAACGCTTTAATTCTTATAATTAGAGAATAACATTGCACAATAGGTAAATCATTTTAAGTTTTTTTTTAATATAGACATACTCATACATTATTATATTTATATTATATTGCATGCTATATAAAGATCACAGAAACTTAGCTTCATATCTAGTTATTTCGAAAATCGACAACCGTGTCACTGAATCACTTGAAAATTCCATTATTTCGTTAGCGAAAGTAACTTCGATTACATTTATACAAACACTACGATGTGTTTAAACAAAAAAAAACCAAAAAAAATACTAGTTATTGTCATCATGCACTCTATCAACGTCCGTTGCGATCGGAAGCTGCGACGTCGAAGCGGCCACATCGCCACCTATCGCACGCTAACGTAAAAAGCTAGCGATCCTCGCGTGCACTACCGCTACAGTCTACGTGGAGCGTGGCCTACTAGTTGATCTGTTGAAATACCTGGAAGCAGGGCTGCGGCGGGAACAGCGCGGCGCTCCAGTGCGCCGGCCACGGCGGCGGCGGCGCGTCACTCGCACCTGCCTCGCCCTCCACCTCTCGCCCCTCGCCCCGCGTCTCCCGCCTACCCAGCTCCGAGATCTGGCACGCGCTCTGCAGGCTCGACGGCAAGTTGCTCCAGTTCTCACTCCCAAGCCTATCCTTGTTCATGATGCTGATCTCCATCGACCCCTGATACGTGAATTTAGTCACGTCCTCCTGCCCCTCCTCCGGCTTCAGCTTCCCCGTGCGGTTCGGCCCCTCTACTATTGCTTGGAATGCGAGCAGGTCCCTGTTTTCCGTCTCCGTCAGCGGCAGGGGTGGCATTATCTGTTGCTGCTGTGCTATTTTGTAGCTCTGTTGCCGCAGCATTTGCCGTCTGCTAAGGCCGACTTGTAAGTTATGCAGAGGTCCCAGGTCGTGAGTTGGCACGTTGGGTGGAGTCATCTGTTTCTGGAGTAGCTGGCGTTTCTGTTGGTATAGTCTGTGTTGCATCAATTGCTGTTGTAGAGGGGGCTTGGTTGCTTGCGCCACGGTCGCAGCATGAGGTAGTTCCGGCGGCTCTTGAAGCTGTGCGACCATCTTTGGACTGGCTGGCATCGGGGGCGAGGTACTCGAGTAATTGAACGTTTCTGGAAGACTGATTCGTTTGGCTGTCGGTGTCTTTGTGTCCAAATAATGAGGGCTGAAACTAGCTGCGAACTGGTTGTGCTGTAGTTGTCTTTGCGTCATCTCTTCCGCAGGAAGTGATGCCTGATACTGAGTTTTGAGTTTTTGAGCCTCTTTTTGGACAAGATGTAGTTCTAACACGCCTTTCGCTTTGCAATTTTCGTTCAGTCGCTGACTATTAAATGCTAAACTGTTCTTTTGTGTTTCGTTTGATTGTGCCACTTGCTGTGCCACTAAGCCATCGCTTGCTCTGCGTCCCTCTCTAAAATCGACAGGACTCCTTGTTATTGCACGGGGGCAGTTTTTATTAACTGATTGATAGTTCAATGGATTATGTCTAGCGATAAAACCGGTACCAGAATTTTTATTATTATACGAAGATATATACACGCACGGATGCATTGGACTCGTATTTACTAAGGAACTATTTTCACAAGCTAATTTATCTTCATTAGACGTACAGCTGGGTAGACTACTTGCTAATTCACTTGAACAGTCAGACAATTGGTAATCCAAACTTTCAAAAGTAGAGAAGTTGCTTTGTGAAGATTCACAACTAAGGTTTTGGCTTAGACTCTTGTTATTAAAAAAAGTCACAACTCCACTGCTTGAGCTGGAACTTGCGTAAGAACTCAACCTGTTTTGGACTCCACTAGGAATACTCGCCACATCTTCCATATCAGTCTCACACCCTTCATCTGTTGATGACGAATACTGTTGTTGAAATTTTGTTCCTTCAGGTGGATTAGTTTGAAGGTTTTGAGTGTATGTTTGACCAGTGGTATACCTGTTCAATGAAAATTTGCTGTCTGGTCGATACAATGTCGAGTTCGGAAATAACTCATTTGTGCCAGTTCCAGATATCATAGCAAAGTTTGCTGATTCAGTCGTATTAGATATTGGTGGCAAGACTGTATTTTGTAAGTAAGAATATGCTGGAAGATGATGGTTCATGTAATCTTTGAAAGGCGGAGTGCTTGTTTGCAATCTGCTGAGATCCTGTTGTTGTGCTTGGGACACTAGCCTCGTCGATTCTAAAGGCTTTGGTTGTTCTAATACACTACTAAGCTTTGTATCTGTAAGTTGCGTTGGTATAGGGCTAGTACTCAAATTGACAGTACCTTTTAATGGTAAAGGTGACTGCTGCAATGTATTCATTAGCTTCGCAGCTTCTGAACACATGGTGAACGTAGTCGAACTTGGAAGTTTTACAGTTTCTACATTAAAATTAGTAGCCGAGGCCGAATTTTGGAGAAAGTTCGCAATGACATTATGGTCAGCTGCCGATGAACTCCTTCCCCCATCAATTGCACATTTAGAATCGAAACTGGACGATGTGAGAAGTCTCGTTCCGTCGTTCAGATGTTTATTTGTTTCTGGTCCAACAGTCGTGGACTGCTGCAGAAGTCGTCTGCAATCTTCGCTCGATTGCTTCAATATATTTTGCTGCTGTTCATAGGTTGAAGTAAGTAATCTGTGAGTTGGGACGGTGGCTTCGTTCAACTTAGTTCCTAGCCTTTGGTTAGATTGTGTCACGTCAATGTTTCTCATCGAGAGGAGCCTCATCGATTCGCTCTCATGACTCTTAGAGATGCTATCTATGTTGCTGACTAGAAAGCTCCGGTGCGTGTCCGAGGGGTCGGAGTTTCGCTGGAGCAGTCTTTGTTCCGTCATGTTGACTCCTGCGAGGGACAGCAACCGCTGCGTCTCGGCAGAGGACGAGTCGGCCGGAGCAGCGGTCAGAGTGGGTGTAGCGCGACTAAACTCCCTCGCTTGACTTTCACCGCTATGAAGTAACCTGAAAGATAAAAATACATATAAACTTTATTTCACTTATATTACAACTACTACAGCTTGATTATACAAAACAGCAGAACAGTGGTGTATAGGCCATCCTAATGTTGCTTTTTCCTAGCAGATAGGTCAAGATAAGTGTTAGTAGACTATAGATAGGAACGTAAATCCGTGAAGCTCTGTTAACCTTGCTTACTACAGAAACAACACTGTACGAAATGGTCTGTCAAATGGAGGATACGCGTTATCACAATTTGTTTTTATAGATGGATATAATGGTATGAAAATCATTAATAAAATTACCGGTTGTGATGTTCCCTTCGTGCTTCTTGAGCTTCCCTGGCCAGAGCTGAATCAGCAACAGAAGAAGGCCGTCTGGATGGCCTAGTGCGAGTCTCGGAACCCGAAGTGTTGGCCCCACTCGCTGCTCGTGCTCTTAACCTTTCCAAAAGCAAGAGGTAGATTGCTGCGTGGTGGTCATAGCTATTGGATCGGAGGCTCTGTAATCAATTTAAATAGTGATTAGGTTTGATGAAATACTTTCCAAATTTCCACTTTACTTAAGTCAAATTACCTATCTCATTATATTAAGACAACCGTTTTTACGTAAGTAAGCATTACTGCTTATATAAAATTGGGTTTCAGATTATCCCGAAGTGAGATATTTAAATTTTTATTAAGGACTCATAATGAGGGTGTTTAGGAAAATTCACGTTGGCGCCACTGTGACGTGATATCTTTTGTATGAAGTTTTTGGCATGAACTTATCGAACGAGCATTTTAATTGATCCATAGACTATGACAACATAAGCGATTTGACGGTTGAGAAGACTTTCTCCTCAGTGCTGCCACCTAGCGCCCGTCATTCCAGAAAACCCTCATTATGTGAAAGAAAAAGAGTATTTCAAAAGTATCTTCATCTTGATACCGACTCGTTTCGTACTGATCCCAAATTCCGTAATGCATCGTTGCTCACCTCTTTGGTTTTAACAGGATCAATGCCCAAGCTCTGCATCAGCCTTAAGACCTGGTCGTTCGGCTCGTGGTGGGCGGGTGCATGGGCGGGGCTACGCATCGGGTCAGTGACCCCGGCTGACACAGCGTACGGTTCTGCTGACATCCACCGGTGCTTCTTGATCTGCTCTATCGTGTACCTCTTCATCGGCTCCAGGACCAACATCTTCCGGATCAGGGATTCGCAATCTGAAATTAAATTGTAACGAACTGTCTAACTTATCTTCTACCAAAGTCTATAATTTAACTTCTTCTAACTAATATTTATTATTATATTTACATTTATTCTCGTGCAAGTGGATGTGATGGTCTTCTATGAGAAATATAATATATAAAATAAAATATACACGAATACAAGGTTTTTGACGGAGAGAAGCTCGAAAGCGCAGTAGCAGTAGCTAACACGTATGGTCCACATTGTAGAAGCATAAGTAAAGTTATTTCCGCAAAGTTCCTCTGTGCTTCAGAAGGGGCGTCAAGGAGTTGGTTCCGGTTGCAACTGTACCCTTAGCACGAACAAATATCGAATTCGCAATGTTAACGAGTCCGAAATGTCATTGTTAAATGTGTACTGATTTTTAATTCTCGTTACGTACTTTGTGGCGCTGCAGTTCAAGTTACCATACAAAATTTGACATTGACATTTCGCACTCGCAAACTATTCGAATTTGATAACGGTTCGTGCTAGGAGTACTGGAGTCTCAGGCTTATATTATAATACTAGCGGACCCGACAGACCTTCTTCCTCCCGAAAAAGATATAAAAAAATCCTTATATTCGCCTGCTGTGCCATCTATCCAGTAAAATGGTTATCGCCTTTGCTCATATTATTGTTTTTTTATATTTTCATTTTTGTATATTCATTTGTATGTGAGCAATAAAGAATTTTGTCTATCTATCTTAAACACTTTCTGTGAAACCTTCATAATCTCTATTTCCATAAGAACCTTCTACATATTATTAGAAAATCTACTATGAAAATCTTTGGTACCTACAAAATTTACTGACTACAAGTAGGTACTATGAAAAAAAAATATGTTGCAAAAAAAGAAATAGCATTATTTTATATTCATTTTTCTGCAAAGTTGTAACATTGACTATTTAGTCTGACCATAAAGTCCGATTCCTTTTAATTTGAATAAAGATTAAACTTGCAGTAGTTACGCAGAAATTGGTTAACATAACTCAAATGACATTTGAAATTCAATAAACGGAACAAAAGACTGTGTAACTCTTCGTTTATTAATAAGGGGAAAGAGTGAAGTTTTTGAGTACGCAAGTACCATCAATCCTTTTGTAGGGAGGGTTATTGATCGCTATTCGTTCGCACCTATGTACCCTACTAAGCATAGAAGTGTTATTGACCGCTATTCAGATTACAGAAGCTAATAACCTGTACATATAAGGAAGAGGCTCACGATTTCTGCAAAGGTTAAACAGGGACTTTTTTGTCACAACAGATCACGCCCTTCAACAGATTTCCCAAAAAAACATTTGCAAAGCGGTCCTGCGCGATTGATGAATTTGGTATCTTGCAGATTTTGACCTTCTTCGGTTCTATGTTAACTGGCTATTAGATCACGACATCAGTTGAGTATTTGCAACCGCAGTCCAGACGAACAGAAAATCGTCCTAACTGCAGTGACTTATAGCTAACCTAATGCTGAGAACTCGGAATTACGTTACTATAATTTAAATTTTATTTTCAAGAGCAAGAAACTCGACTACAGTAACTTGTAGCAGGGTAAAATTAAAGAGGACAATACCCAAGTATAAAGCACCTAGTTGAAACATTTTGGTATTATGTACAAATATTAGTGCAATACCCACATTTTTTGTCTGTTTCCAACAGTGTTTGTCGTGTGTTGTTTGATTTGAGATGTGATAAGACTGAAAAGCAAGAGTTCTGAAGAAAACTGGAGCACTGCCCTAAATGGAGTTGTTCAGGTGGACGTCAATGTAAAGCCTACATATTCCAAAGCAATGGCTGATCATTAGCATCATTAACAAAGGAAGGACAAGGTATAATGAGAATGCACACAGTATATTCCACACATTGGTCGTCCACACCGACTCCAGCAGGGCAACTGAAGTCATTGTGACGTAAATCAGTTTACTGACACGCTACAACTACGTACGTAAGTAATTGCAACACATCAAGCATGAAAATCGTTGTTAATTAGCTCTGCCGTCAAATTTTGGATACCAACCTACCTAAATCCATCATACGCCTATTAGTGTATCAACCCGTTAATAGATTAGGTAAGTCATTTGCCGACTGACGTAGGCGGTTAGCTGACGCCAATTTTGTATTGTTTACATTTATGTGTTAACATCTCATTAGTCAGTATAGACGCCATATAAGTACCCATTGTCGAGAACCAAAGAAAAACACATATTCAAATCTCTTAAGAGATAGATTTTAATATTCTAAAAATATACAGAGACTTCAAGATATTGGACATTTCCCTCAAACCTCTTACGAGTACAAAACAAGTCTGCGTAAGTTCAGTTCAAATGCCTTTGTCCTAGAGACATTACTTTGTACGTCAAACGGTAGTAGGCGTTTAGAAAGCACTGAAAAGGTTACCGGCTAGTTTGACGTCGTCGGCTAACGTCACTCGAGCAGTTGAACCGAATATGGAACGCCAAAAGCCAAACAACGGTCGCTTCCGCCCATTTCGACGGTGAGATTGGAAAATTTTTACAATACCTCAACTGTTCTTGTTCTTTTATTTGGTGGGAAGAAGGTTTAAATACCGTGCCGTTTAAAAAAGTTGCTGCTAACACCGTGTATTTATAGAGATTTTTATTAGTCTAAAGTATAGAAGGTAGTTTAGTATATTTATTAAATGTAAAAACGTGGTAATACATGTAAGTACTAAATGTATTATATTAAATGTCCAAATGTTATCGCTTCAAGAAAAAGCAAGTATTCTCGATAATTAAGTTGAACGTCACAAATGAATATACAAACACAACTCAATGATCAACGAGATAAACGTAATTTAAAAGAATTATGTACACACACGAAAATAAACATATACTGTTTACACTTTTATCTTATGACCCGAGTGCTCGCTAGGTATACGTTATCATCAGATTCGTTGCACAAGATTTTAAAATACCTACTTGGTGTAAATAAGTCTGTAGGTGTTTATATAACTTAACGTCTAGTCTGAAAAACAATGAAATGTGACATCATTTGTGTCTGAAATAAAAGTATATTATTATTATAGACAATAGATACAAACAGTATGGAAACGCGTGGAAAAATGATACCGGAAAAGTGGTTTTATCTACTTTTCTATGCTGAAACAGTATTCTGCCGAAGATCTTACGTCAATGCCAGCGATGTGTGACCGTCAAGGCCCAATATGCCCAATACGAGGAAATAATGTTAGGACAATGTGCCTCTACGTATGTAGTAGGCACCCTGATTGATGATCTAATAACGACAAGTACAATGCAAGGTGAGATCTGCCCCGTGACTGCTCAACTACGGTGATACCGTGCAAAAAAAAAACGAACACATGTGACGCGTGACGCAAATACTCCCGAGTCCGCCTTTCTATTAAGCATGAGTGTTATTGTAGTCAAGTGCAACTTGACGTCGGAATTGTTCGTTACCGTGGAACTCATAACTACGCTAGTAGAATATGCTTTATGGAACTACGCTACCCAGTCTTAAAAAAAATATTGCTTTAAGTTGTAGGTAATATGGATAAAATAATATAATAAATATATAATAAATATTTCCAACACTCACACCAATTAGCCTAGCCCCAAAGTAAGCACTATAAGGCTTGTGTTATGGGATACTAGGGTAACGGATAGAATACATATACTTTACATATATAAGTATATTTATATAGAAATACATATTAAACATCCATGACTGGAGTGCAAATGCTCGTGTTCATCACACAAACATCTGCCCCCACCGGGATTCGAACCCGGGACCTCTCGAGTCGGCGATGCCATGAAACCCGGCGTACAAACCACTCGGCCACGGAGGTCGTCAATATTACGTACATGTCGACTTTGATAAAAGTAAAGAGCAACACGGACGAAGAGCAATTATCGCTTAATTTTTATCAGCTGAAGCTTTCAGATTAATAATAAAAATCAGTACTTTGTCTCTTAAATTATAACAGCTGTAAAATTTTTGTACCTTATATGTTTTTTGGCGTGAATAAAAATTATTATTATTATCATTAAATTGTTGAAGATGTCGTCAGAGGAAAACGAAAAAACAAACGAAAATCACGGTGATTTTCTTAACGTGGCCTACGTAAAAAATCTGAAACAAAGTCTCTTTGTTGTTTTAGAAGAATGAATGGTCGAAGAAAAAACAAAATATGTGTGTGAGGAGCGTGGCACGCGGAGATCAATCAATTTGTTTCCGACTGATTGAAAATACTGTCATTATTACGTATGCATATGTGCATTAAGGCACACGATATGTCAAATGTAATTTACGTACTGTCAACTGCTATGATTTAAGACCCATTCCCTAAGGTCGAAATCTCGAGATCAATACGACTACAGCGGTAAAACGTCATGATAACAAATCGATTGAAATTTAATGTCATTTCTGAATATTAACCTCCGTGCTAAGGATATAATTTAGTTTTTAATTCTTTCGTTATGAATGTTATGTCAGTGTCGCACAGGGAAATTTTATTGAGAATCCAGGAGAATGTTATCAAATCACATGTCTCACTAAAGTTTGTATCTATTTTTTCAGAAATAAATAAAAAAATGTTTTGTAGGAAAATAGTAAGCCGATTGTTTGGCACAAAATCGGAAATGTCTGATCGCTTCTCGGGTTCCAACAGTTGGCGGGTAAACTGAGCTGTTGTATTTTCTGACATAAAGTCAGTTCATATCACATTTTCATAGCAACATCTTAATTTATAATATTAGCTCATAAGATGTCTTTTTTCAACTTTCTGCGGATCCCAAAGCAAAGAACGTGACTGTACACACTTATTTCTTATGTTTTCACGCTAATCAATCATTAGATAAAACTAAACACCTTTGAAACGGGTTCCAGCTATGATTTTAATATTTTTACATAAATAATGTATTGTAATTTTTATGAAGTTGTTATTCATGCATCAAGTAATAAAAATAATGTCGTAGACTGGATGCACAAAAAGTCTACCATCTGTGATGTGTTAGAC